ACCACTCACTGCCCAAAGGTGCTGATAAAAACTTTAAACAAGGATAATTAAAATGCAATGAACTAGTTTTATGATTTGTTAAACTGAGAAATAAGTGACTGCTATGGTAGCTCAAAAGCAAATGCAATATTGCAAACATTCAGATGACTGTAATTCTCTAAAATTAATGCATATGTATATAAATATATTCACTCAGTGTAATTCACTGTGTTGCTGAATTTTGCCTTTTTCTTCCCCTCAAAAGTTTGGTCTAAATATTACAATTTTTTCCACTTTTCAATATACTGACTTTATGACTATTTTAATGAATCTATGAGCTTTGAGAAGCACAGATTAATTTTATATCTTCAAACATGGAGGCAGTGCCATAAAAGAAGCCCAGTTCCTACTCTGTTACCAAACTACACCCTGCTGAGACTTGTCACCATAAAGACTCCCCCAACAAGGTTATCCTAGAATAAAGTCTCCCCCTTGTGGATCTATTACATAACAAAGGTTCCATCAAAACACTGCATAACAAAGCCTCTGCTCCTAGGCTGATCTGTGAAATCTGTGGAAAGCTCACTTCAGCACATGCCCTATCCCAGGAGGCTTGACCTCTCCTGAAAGGAAAAAAGAGATATTCTATTCTGACAACCCATTATTTTGTGATTTTAAAAAATAGAATAAACCAAATTCCTAAAACAAATTCTCTTTCTCCCCATTACCACATTTGAATTAAGTTTTTCAGCCATGAATGTTTAGTTTGATGGTCACAAGCGCGATTCAGGCCAAATTGTTGTTTCCTATTTAATTAGGAATTTCAGATGTTCTATCTGACACTTATGGCACTAAGTAAATATAAAGGGGTAAAGTAACTTTTTTCTCCCTGTCCTTGAAAAAAGTTTCTCTTATTTACATAAAGAAATTATGTCCTAGACAATTCCTTATATCTGAGGGATTATGGAGCTATATAACTATTTGCAGAATGATTCCTCTTCAAGCTCTTGATTAAGTGTACTGTTCTCTGACATTTTATTATTATGATCCATTAAAATGATCATGCTGGCCATAATGTGCTCTGAAAGGGCCCAGACTTGGGCCAAAGCATGGAGACATTTTATACGCAAGATTTTTTTTTTTTTAAGGGTAGACCAACACCAATCAAAGTCTTTGATGGCTTGTGATGTTTTTCAATTATATCTGTGACAAAATTCTCACACTTTATTCATGGTATCAACTGTTGAGTCAACACTCGGGTAAAGGATCCTTACCACTATCCAGAGGCATGTTCTCACATTCATTTCAGAATAAGATGGTTAAATATTTATTTCTGGAAAGTTTCATAATACTGCTAGACTTTGTTACATTCATTGCTTCTCTCCTATCTCTATGCAGTAATTGCTTGTAAAACATTAGCATTGTAATTTATTGCTAACACTGTACTTCTCACTTGAATAAATGAGTAAAAAAATATTACATCCCTTTGTTTGATGACTAGAGAGAAAGACTAACAAAGCTTGTTTCTGCTTCTGAAAAAGTGGTTAACTTCCATTAAAACTAGGGATGCAGGATGACACAGAAAGAAGTCATAAAAGCTACTGGGTTAGATAACATGGGAGACTGTTTTCTTTCTAACCATAGAAAGGATACTGCATTTACAGAGACAGTGCAAACTTCCTTGTGCTGGCTTGTCAACGTGTCTCAGTTTTGCTCTGAAGTGGCAGCTTCTAAGAGGAGAAAGAGCAAGTACTATTCTCTGTGTCCCCTCAGTCCTTGACCTCTCAGCAGCAACTTTTAACAATCTGTGGGTTTTGGATAGATTGTGATTATATTTTTACAGTATGTACATCTAGCCACTGGGAACTAAAGTGAGACCACCTACACATTTCATAGTCATTAAATGGTAAAGATTTTCAACTGTTGGAGGTCTAGGATACTACACATGAAATGCTGGGAACCATTCAGACCTTTTATATATATAATTTTTTTTTAGCTCAGTTCAGTAAAATATATTTTGCCACTTCTGAAGTGCAGGAGGCTGCTGAAACTGAGAACATTGGTTCTAATATCTATCTGCTGGCTGATTCAAGAAAATTGAGTTGGTTTGCAAAAAACTAAACAGCGAAGGATAAGAAGCAAAGGATAGGCGATAAGAGTTTTTCGCAAGAATCACCTCAATTTGGTAAATTAGAAAAATGAGACAACGAGATAAATGAGAAAAGTTAGGCATAATATGAGCTGTGTGTGCTCATCTTGTTAGCAGACCTAGGACCACAATTCATTCTGCATATAAAAGGAAAGAGGGAGGTAGTGTAGGTGATATTTAAAACATAGTGCCATTCTGTTCAACAATATTCAAGTCTTGACTTCCAGGAAAATATTATCTTCAAGAATAAGACAATTTGTTTCAGTACCTGTTGCCTGCCAAGCACTGGACTACTACTGCTATTAATGACACATAGTGTATCACGTTTTACTAGGCTGGATAATTTGCAATATTTATCCCTGAAGAGAAATGCCAAAACAACCTCTACATGTGCCAATATAATTCTTTTCTGATTCTTATTAATAAACTTAGTATTTATATAGCCTCTGTACATGTATATGTATATACATCATAATGCAAGTCACACATAGGCATTATACAAACAACAAACTCAGTAAACCAAAACATGCGAGACAGAAACACAAAGTCAAAATATTTTAGCTTCCAGATTTAAAACTGGTTTCTATCCTTTTGTCTCTTATTGCTCAATTGTTATGCAGCATTGTCTGCTGAACACAACACACACACACAAAAAATGTAAAGTATATACTTGAGTTCGAGCATTTAGAATGGCGGATCCAGACTCCATATGGAAAATTATGGAAACTAAATTGTGGAAATTTGCTAGCCAGTCTATCTGAAACATCACCTTCTTTCTCACCATTTCAAACCTCTCACCATTGTATACACTCATTCAGTCTCATTAACGGCGCTCTGTCTTTTACAGCATCATATTTGAGCTTCTCATCCTCAACCCTACATAATTTTACCCCTTCTGTTGTCATGCTGTCAATTCTCCTTTCACGGTCTCTTCCTATCACTCTTTTCATCTCCCTAATTTCTTTCTCTTGTACTCTGGACTTTTCTACTGTCCCTCAGGTTGCCTCCTATGCTTAGAACAGCCTCCTGTATCCTATCTACAGCACCCTCTCTCTCTTTCTAACAATCTTTCCTTCCAACTTGCTCTCAACATCAATAGTCCCCCCATCCTTGCTTACCTACACCATTGTTCCCTAGCTCAACAAATAAGAAAAGATAAACATGATGTCATCTGCGTATTTAAACCCATGTAACTCCATATAAATTGTAATAATAAATTAAATAAAATGGCCAGATCACAGTGGTATCCCTCCCTCTGTGCAGAGCAAATGTTCACACAGACTTCATGGCATAGCTCTCCATTATTTCACGGGGCATGGAGAAGATGGAGGCAGGGACATGCTGGCGTCATGGAAGTTACCTGGAAAAATTAATACAACTTCAGTGAAGGCCTAAGCTGCTACTTACTGCAATGAAACTCATGAACAGAAAGTATCTTTAGGTTTTGAGATATATTATCAGCAAACCAGAGGAGCAGCTGTTATCCGAATACAGTGTAATACTGAGTCTGAAGAGCAATGTGCAGTTTTGGTTCTGGCATTGCTGTCCAGTATTAGGAATATTGCTGGGTCAGGAGAACCAGTGACGGGGATTAGGGCTTGCTCAGACCCAGCCTGCCACTTTAATATTACTATTTACAAAGACTGTGTTCACTTAAAGCTGTTCCCAAATCAACCCTGTTTATTTCACCTGCCGCAGTCCAGTCAAACAGAAAGAAGACTTACTTAGCTATAAGAAAACACAAACCCCATGCCAAATACCAGCCATATCTACAGGTGAGATGGAGACATCCATGGGGAAGTTGAAGCAATAAACTATCCAGCTACTGATTCTCCACACTTCCAGAGGCTACCACTTCACCTGCTGCTGCTGCTGGCTCTGCTCCCTCTGGCTCCCACTGACACTGATGCTGTTGTTATACAAAGGCCACGTCCAGTCCTCTTTGAATGAGGGCCACTAGGGTCCATGCTCCTTTGTGACGAGTAACACAGTCCTGCCTTTCCAACATTCACGAAGTGTAAGGCCAGAAGGGACCATTAGACCACCTGTCTGTTACAGGCACATGAAACCAGCTATATTGAGCCCAATAACTTGTCATTGATTATAACGTATCATTCAAATTTCTCATTCGAAACTGTTTGGTTTCCAAACAGGAAACCAGTGTCTACCCTCCTACCCCCCTCAGATGTTTGGCACCAATGTCCGTCCTTTGCGAGGGATGTTCACACGTGACCATCTGAAATAATGGATCCCTCATTCTGTTCACCCCTAGCTGAGGGCACTGGAGATTGAAAACCTGGGGAAACAGGCTACCAGGCAGACCACCCTGGGATTACATCTTCGCACCTCAAGATAAGGGATGCCAGTCTGTCTGCTTGAGCTTAACGAGCAAAGTCAATGCTGCTCAGGTGAAAGGGCAACAAGGTATGAAATGAAAGAAGTGCCCCAGAAGTGCCTTTTGGGATGAAGATGCTGGTCCACAACTTCCCTCTGGCACGGAGAACATCCTTCAGCAAAGGAGATGCTCTCCAGCGCAGGAGGACAGGGTTTTCTCAGCTTTCCCGGGGACAGCCGGCTCCACTCCCACACCGGGGACACCACAGATGACTTTCTGCTCTAAGTTTGAGCCCATTTCTTTGACCTGGCATAACCACGTTCCCGCACAAAAGACAAGACCCAAGCCTATTCCTCTGCACCTGCTTGCTGCCCCTGTCAGGGGCCGGGCGAACAAAAAGCACCCTTTGCTCGAAGCGCCCGAAGACACGGAGGCGTTTGTGTGGTGCTAAGCTGCTGAGCCTGGCACGAAAGCAGAGCGGAGGAGGAGCAGCAGAGCACCGGTGAAACACCTGCCACCCCCCGGGCCGGGACTCACCTTGTGGGCCAGGACACTGATGTAGCCATCGAGGAGCCCCGTCCCCGCGGGCAGCGCCGGGCGCCGCGGGCCACTGCCCAGCTCCGGCTGCTGCTGCTGCTGCTGCGGCTTCTCCGGCTCGCCCGGGGCCCGCACCCCCCCCCTGGGCCCGCCCCCGG